ATTATGGAAAACGGATGGGAGCTCCTTCAGAAACTAAAAAGAGAGCTATGCTGTGTTCCAGGAATCCCCTATGAGATGCATATTCCAACAAAATGAAATCACCTTATCCAAGAGACACCTGAACATGTCCCTACTGAAGCCCTTCTGGCAACAGCCAAGATTCTGTGCCTTTTAAAGGATGAATGAATAAAGAAAACATAATGTATACACAAAATGGAGTATCGTTCAGGCAGAAAAAAGTCCTGCCATTTGCAACCATGTGGATGGAACTAGAGGGCATGGTATTAAGTGCAATAAACCAGGCACAGAAAGACAAATGCCACACATCCTTGAACTCATTTGCAGAAAAGACAATGTGGCCTCGAAGATGAAGAGAGTAGATGAGTGACTCCTAAGCCTTGGGAAGGCAGGAGGGAGCTAGGGGAGAGCAGGTGCCAAAGCAGAGAGAGCTAGAAGGCCCTGTGCTGGTACAAACCTTCCTGTTTCAGGAGGCACTGGGGAGGAGACAGGTTAAAAGTCTCCAACACCACGTACTAAAAAGCAGACAGAAGTGCTCATTTTCCTGACTAATCATCACACACCATGGAGTGATCACACGGTGCCTCATAAATACACACAGATGCTAGGTGTGAACTGAGCAGACTGACGTAGAGCTTCCACGAAGGAAACGGGTAGCAAGGCAGACAGAAGGTCAGGGCACACCTTCGGTCAGAAGGTGTGGTCAGAGGTCAGAGGGGCCTGGCTCACCAGTGGCCACTCAGCCTTCTCCTGGTACAGTGAAGCTTCCAGCCCTGGATGCTGTGGAAATGGTCAGAAAGGAGTACATCTTGATACCCTTTCAAATTGGTAGGTAGAAATGATGAATGTGGAGCCTGGCTCCACTGTGTGAAAGGTGGGTGCTCCATCCTGAATTGCAGCACGTGAAGTAACCTGTTGACTGAACATCACTGGGGAAGCAGAGTTTAAGTGTGTTTTGTGTGTGCAAACAGAAAGTGCATGACTTTCATGTCTGAGCATCCACACAGTGCCCCAAAGGTGGAGTGAGGCCAGCCTCAAACCTCTTTCAGCATGTGGCTGGGGGTGTTTAGGCCCTGAGAGGGAAGCTTCATGGCTCACAAGCACCTCCGTTCCACCTTGAGCTGCCCAGGCTCACACTGCTGACTGGTGATGAGTGCTTTCAGGCTTATTCCATGATTTCTCTCTGAGGCAAATGAAGGGAGTTTAGGGTACAAAGCAGCCTTTCCTGCGAGTGGACGGGGCAAGCCCTGAGGGCCAGCGAGGGTCACCCTGCCTCCAGACCCCAGGAACACTATGGAGGGGCACCGAGCAGGCCCGCAGGCAGGCACACACCCTCACTGGCCAGGCTGCACGGTGTCCCTGCCTACAGTCTGCCATGGGTATCAAAAGCATGGCCTGGGTAGTTTGTCTGCCAGTGCAGTAAACAAGAGCTCAGCAAGGAATAATATGGGCCAGAAGTTTTTCTGCTTCTATGCATAATGTTTGACCTACTTATAGTCTCCTTGCAATGTTAACTACATATTCAAAGGTGGAAATGAAATGCGAACCTCTATTCACCACAGAGCTCTGGTTTCTAGAGAGAAAATAAATGGAGCTCCTAAACATTTACATTCCCCTTCCTGTTCTTCTAACTCTTACTTGTGCAGCAGCATTTACAAACTTATTTAGTTCCCTGACACTGCAGTTCAGAAGTAAGAGCTGGGCTTGTAAGGACCCAGAACCTGTGTATTTCCACCAGGAATGTGAGCTGTCAGCTGGGGGATGTCTTTGAGAGTGCTGGACATCCCTTCTGCAGAGTCTTAGGATAAAAACAGCCTGAGGAGATGCGCATGTAATTGGCAATGCTGTTCTCCATAAATCTTCCACCTCAAGCCTGGGTGACCACTGGAGGATGATGAGGAGAGGTGACACTGGGGCCTCAGCAGGAATGGTGGGGAGACAGGCAGCTTGCTGCTGGGGAGAAGGCCCTTTGTAGATGACGGTTCCAGGGTGCTTCCTGGGCCTCCAGCCTACCCATCCTATGGCCACACTCCTGCCTGGCCTTGGGACAATGGTGTGCAGGTTTAACCTCATAGAACACGTCATTCTGGTGGGCAGAGGGGCTGGGTTGAGTGAAGGCCACCCCGGACCACATCTGCTGCTGCAGCCTGATGGCACTCATCGCCAGGCAGCGGTGTGAGGCTGGGAAGTCATAACTGTCCTCTTTCCTCCACACATTATGTACTTAATACCAGGGGATTTCACTCAAATGCCTCTTTCTACTGAGCCACATTTTTTCACAGTATCAGATCACAGCTTGTCATCTTTGTTTTTCATGGTACTATAAACAGACATGATGTTCAGAAGCCTAGAAAATGCATTTTCCAGTTCACCCGATCCCTTTGAGGACACTGCTCACCTGCTGGCTCACTGTACCGTTACATCCAGGCAGAGCAGGGGGATCTGGGAGAAATGGGGGGGCTTGACAAGGCTTCCCACTTGGTGCCCTTCGAGGCTACCTGTGGGGATGACGGTGACCAATGCTACACAGCAGGGAAGGAGACATGGGTAAGGTCCAAGTGCGGCAGTCTCATGGTGCTTTAGTGACAGAGGCCAGAGGAGCATCTTCAGTGACCCTGGCACGGAGTCCAGACTGCAGGGCTCGGGCCAGCACCCACTGCCAAACACATGGCATTTAAAAATAAAACAATTTAGAAGTGGAGAAGGGAGGAGAAAGGCGGGGAAACTGTCATGGACAGAGACTCTGACTGGGTGGCCCCTCCCAGTCCCTGAGCTGGAGCCTGACACAGATGCCCTGCTACAAAGAAGTCCGAGCCATTGGGAAATTCACATAGTGATTCAGTATTTGAAAATACTGAAGAATTACCATTCTGAATGTGTGAGCAGCTATTGTAGCTGTTTGAGAAGGAGTTGTATCTGTCATTGTGAGTGTTTCAGAGAAGAATGTGTAGGTGTTTACAGCTACAGATATGTGGTGGGTGGGATCTGCTTTGGCCTGACCTGGGAAGGATGGTTGAGGGGCAGACAGCAGGGACAGAGTCTCAGCTCCGCTGTGTGGTGTCTCGTGGGCTCTTGTGCAGTGGTGTCTCCTAACAGAATGCTGACGCAGGGTTTCTGGGGGGCAGCATAAGCCATCGGGCAGGGCCGTGGGGAAGGTGTGGTGGGAGCCAGAGGGAAGCAGGCAGAACAGGTGGCTGGGGTGACACATCTATCATGTGTTCAAGAGACACAGAGCAGGCATTTCCCAGCTCAATAGAAAAGGCAAGCATGTGCTACTGTCATGTCAAAATCAGAGCGCGGGCACCGGTTCTACTCAGCGCATCCTTTTAGACAGCAGCGATAACAATTTTCCCTGTGGATATTAACTAACCTTTGCCAACTACACGCAAAGTTCAAACTCTTCCTCTGCTATAGTATATATATAGTAAAATAGTATTGTACACAACTAGTAGTTGTGTCTGGATAAATCTGTCACTACTTGCATTTGGTCGGCAAATCCTTTCGGGACCATCCCCTGAGAGCTGGGACATAGCACAGGTAGAGCTGAACCTCCAAGGGCTCTCCAGCCCAGGCTTCATGCTGGGTCACAGCTGCCTCTCTGTTCTGCTAATTGCCTCCTGGTGGCTCAGCCAGCATCCAGCACTGTTACTCATCATTCCAAAAGGATTTCTGCAGACCTATTGGGCATAGCACCTGCTCCCAGGCAAGCAGGAGACATGCTCGGAGGTGAGAGCCATGTAACACGAGCCGCCCTACCCTTGCTCACAGGTACCATGCCCTGTCACAAGAGCAGCAGCAGGCTTCTCAGCCATGCACAACAGGAAGGCCCTCTGAAGGCAGGGGCTGCTGGTGCCAGGTGACAGCATGATTAGGAGATGAAGGGGGAACTGTACAGAGTACAGGCTTCCACAGTGTGCCAACTCTTGCCAGCCACCATCTGTAATTTATTTCGTCCTTGGTCAATTCATCTCTTCCCTACCCCAAAGAGACATAGATTTCCTGTACCATGGGTCAAAGGCACTGCTGCCAGGTAGGGTGCAGCTCAGTACAGAGGCAGGTCTGCTGCCACTGGCAATGTCAGCTGCCCATGCACAGTGGAGCCAGCATATCTGCATGGCTGTTGCTAAATCCCTCACCCTCAGGGCCTCAGGGAATGGCCCATCATGTTTCCAGTGATGGTCCAGCAGAAGTCCTGGGAAACCTCTGAGGCTTCCTACCAAAACTGCCTGCGAACACTGCAGCGCTATGCACAAGCAGGGGGAGCAACCTCAGGGTGGACCAGGGTGTGAGTAACAGGAAGATGAAACACTAGGGTGCGTGGAAGACTCTTCAGCCTCAGCAGATGGAAACTCTGCCATTTGCAGCAACACAGGTGAGGACAGAGGACACCGTGTAGGACAAACATGTCAGTCACACAGTGCATACCTGCGAATGCTAAAACACTGGAGCTCATAGGAGCAGAGAGTAGAAGGCCAGTTACCAGGGGTAGGGCTGGGGATGGGAGATGCTGGTCCAAGAATATAAACCTTCACTTAGACTGAGAGAATAATTTCACAGGACCTATTATACAACATGGTGACCACATGCTGCAAAGTCACAGTAGAGTAGCTATTGGTTACAAAATTAGGTTCCAAAATAACTAGAAAAAACCTCAAAAATTACCATAAAAATGATTAATCTTGGAGGAGGCAGAGTCTGTTACTCCGCTCTGATCACCACTCATCACATACATGTCACAGTATCACCTGGTACCCCACAAAGATGTGCAGATGCTCTGTTTTAATAAAACTTCACTAGGAGAGTCATGAAACAGTCTCAGCACGAACACACAGGGATGAGAGGCCAGGTCTACGCCAGTGAGCGACTCTGGCTTCCAAAACCCCACACTGCCCACCCCAACGTCTCACGCAGGCCTTCCTGCCGCCTGACCAAAGATGATGGCAGTAAAAAACTGGGTGGAGCTGCCAGGCTATGGACCTTACCTGGAGGTAGTGGCATGGCCGCAGCACAGGCTTCCCCTCCTGGGGTGCCAGCGGCTTGTCCAGGTTCAGGGAGCTCTTGCGATATGCCTCCTTGGCCTGGCTCACTGTGAGTGTGGACCAGGAGCTGCGCTTCATATGCTTAGCATCGGGCGTCAGGGCCAGCCCCTCACAGGCCGAGCACTTGACGTCGTTGTTGCTCTTGGAGGTCTTGAGGGACAGGTCCCCAAAGGGGCTGGGCAGTGCCTCGGGGTAGCAGTGGGTGAGGTGGTCCCTATGGTGCCGGTTGGCCATGCTGGGCGTGCGGTAGGTGCTGTCACTGTCCAGGTTGTCATCTGAGCTCCACCAGCTGCTCATGCCAGACCTGTGCTTGCCCTCAGGCTTGCGCTCCTTGCTCTTGCTCCGCTTACCATGCTTGGAGTGGTGGCTGTGGTGGTGGTCATCCCCCCGGCTGTCCCCCTTGGTCCCGTTGACATTGCCCTTGGAAGAGCCTTCCAGCGAGTGTGACTTGGTGAACAGCTTCTGCACAGAGTGCACCAGGTGCCGTATCCGGCCCGGGCTCTCACTGCGCTGCTCAGGAGCGGCTGAGGCTCTCTGGTACTGCAGCGTGTGGAAGCCGTCCCTGTGCAGCGGCAGCTGCTTTTCAAACTGGTCCAAGAGGTTGGCAGGGATGCGGTTGACCTTTGTGCTGGCATGCGACATGGTACAGTCATCCCTCATGTCATAGTGGGAGCTGTAGTGCATCCTGGGAAAGGTACTGCTGGACACATGGTCGCCCAGCACCATGGGCATCATCATGCACTCCGAGTGCACTGAGCTCCGGGGTGAGCAGCGGTGGTGGTCCAAGGGACAGCTCTCGGCCGGGCTGAGCAGGTAGGGCTGCCGCACATCCTGCCCATGGCGCAGGTGGTCATGGGGGTGCTCGCAGTCATCAGCAGGTGTTATGCCACACGTGTGACCAGTGCACAGCTGTGGTTGGTTTCGACTTCCAGATAAGCCTTTCATGTTCCTAGGGGCGGGGGAGTATCTTTCCTCATTGAAGTGCTTTGTTGGGGACCATGAGTACTGCTGGTCTGTTGACAAAACAGAAATGCCACTTAGTACCTGGTGGCTATGTGATGGTAGTCTCATGTTGACACCCCCATGGACTACTTTTTCCTGCCTCAGTGTCATTGGTGTTCTGGGCATTCAGGGGATCTGTTGTGCCCCTAATGTGAGAGTATTAAAGGGAGGAAAGGATGTTCTCAAAGGATGGTCATTAGGGGGTGAGCAAAAGCAACAGGAAACTGGGGATATAGCTCAGCAGCACAGTGCCTGTCTGGCAAGCACGAGGTTATGAGTTCAATTCCCAGCGCCAAACAAACAAACAAAAAAGCACAAGAATACTCAAGCTGAAAAAATAGCTGCTCAGTAAAAGGCATTCGCATCGCAGCTCTGTCACTTTGGACACGTGCATCGTATTGCTTGCCACTTTGTGCAGCAGCCCCACAGTCCTCTTTCCTGAGGGTCTTCAGTCGCACTGTCTTGGCTGCCTGTGTCAGTGATTTAAGTTATTTCTGAAAGGTTGCTGGCCCAGACTGGACACTGCAGCCAAAAAAGCCTCAGCCGGAATTAGGGAGCTCCTGCCTCCTCCGCCCCTAGAGATTTACCTGTAACCCTATATCCCCACCCTTAGAAACCTATCTCTGGCACCAAACTAAGACCAATGGGCTACCTGTGCATCCCTAATACCCCCTAGGTCCCACCCCAGGCCGAGGCTACTTATGTGCCTTACTCCACGTGTTCCAGGGAGAGATCGCCGGCCCCGGGGTGGAGATGCCACACCCCAGGGGGTCGGGGTGTCTCTCCCCGCATTCCCGAAATAAAGGTTACTTATATTTTTATACTTCTTATCTTTTCAGTTCTATCAGACCTATCAATTTCCTTATGTGGTCTTTTGACTTTGGGAAAGAGCTAGACGTCGACTGGTGCCAGATTCAGTGAACAGAGGGATGAAGACACCATGTCATGTTTTTATGAGTCTGCCTTTCCTTTGGATGGCACTCGGCAGCAGAGTTCACTGTATTTTTGATCATACCTCACAAAGACACTCATGAAAAGGACTTTCAGAACCGCTCTCGAAAGTGGCAAGAACTGTGGGATAAGTGTGTTCAGTGTGAGATGGAGCATCTTGAGGGGGGATTAATAGTGATGTGTCTTTCATTGTAACAATTTTTCATTTAAATATTTACTAGATAGTCTAATCATTCCTTTTATAATCACAAATATTTAATGTCTCATAGACTCGTCAGGTTTCTCAACAGAGTCTGCAGTATTAAAAAAACAAACTGTTTTGGGGGAAACAGTTATATTTCTATTAGATTTGAGTATTTTGGTTCACTTTAAAAAATCCAAAAACTAACATCTGGTATTTAATTTGTAATACTGCTTGGTAAGCTAATGCATCTCAAAATGGTTCCAGGCCACCCGTTCCTCTGCAGGTGAGCAGCATGGGTGGCTTCCTTGGCCCATCTGCCCAACCAAGCTGCCACGCTCCTCAGGGACAGACCCCACACTCATGGAGATGTGGCTGGGCATGCAGACCTCCTTTCACCCCGCATAGGCTGGACCTCAGCTCTGCATCTCAGCTTCCCCTGGCTTTCTCTTGGAATGAGTGTCCAGAGTACCTCATGCTTTCAGCAGCAGGGAAGCTTTACCCTTGGGGGGACCTAGGGAGGACTCCTGGGGTGTCTCCATACCAGGAGTTTGTTTTCACCTGCAAGAATCTACTCTGCGAAGACCAAGTGGTCAGACTTGTAGACAATCCAACTTCAAGGAGGGATACCCATACCAGGTGTGCTGCAGCCTGGTGCCAAACCTGAGGGAGGACCACTGGGGCAGCAGCCAGCTCTGTCTCATTAGGGGCGTGGATCTGGAGTCCCCGACTCCACACTGCAGCCCTTGACTATGAGATGGCTCAGATCAGGGTGGTCAGAAAGCCAGGACCCACGGAGGAGTGATTACTATTCATTGGCTTTATCATCATCACCTTAACTGATCTGAGTTCACACTCACATGGGTCCTTATTTGTAAAGTCCAGGATTTACAAAGCCTATGGGGTTGGATCCTGGGATGTGCCACAGAGGCCCTGGCCCTGTGCTGTATACTGCTATCTCTTGCTCTGTGTCAGTCTCAGGGCTGGGCTTGCCTCTCACTGGGGTCTAAAAGGCAGAAAGTAAAGACTTTGCTGTAAGTAGTTGGGAAGGAAGCCCAGAGCAGGGCCTCTGAGGGCAGGGCCTAGAGCAGTGGGCTTGCCAAAGACACAGGTCCTGGGATGGCTGGCTCCCTGAGGACCCAGGCCTGGGACAGTGGGCTCTCTGAGGGCCACACTTCACTGTATTTTATCTGTGTGCCAACTCTGGCACAGTCCAGGTCCAGACCAGACTCCCACAGTAAATGAAAGTGTACAGGCTGCCTTATACCCTCATACCCTCACATACCTTCTGCTTCACATTTGGACCCCTGCAGAGGACCCTGTGTTCTGGTTGCTTTGTGAGTCCTCCCCACCACGTTCACAAGACGGCAGGCTTTCTCTGTGTTGGTTTTTCGGTCACTCTGCACAGTGTCCCTTGCTGTATCTGTCCTCAGAGCTCAGGGCCCAAAGGACAGCAGAGACCATGTCTGGGGCTGATTCCTCCCCCAGCCACTGCCCACTGGGGTCAGGTCACCGACTCCCTCCACCTCTCTGCCCTTACCGTGGGTCTCCCTCACCACCTTCTATGGTTCTACCCCTGACCAGAGATGATCTTGGACCAGAAGTCTCCTCTGAGTTTATGGAGCTCCAGCCTGAGTCCTATTGTGTGAACACAGGAAAGGCTTAGAAACAGAGGTTTCTCCCTGTACCCATTCCCAGCTCCCCAGGTCACTGTGTGGCCATGTGACCAGTGTGGGGCTTGGCCTCAAATGTCCCATTTTAGGCTTCAGCACTATAGTTGCCCAGGGTAGCTCAGACACAAAGCCTGTGGCAAGGACAGGCATGACTTCAAAGTTCTTAGGAACCTGGTGGAGGAGGACCGTGCCCAGGAGTGCCCACAAGGAAGAGGATATCAGTCCTCTTGGAGGGATCCTGGGCTCACAGAGGCCCTTCCTGCCTTTTCCCATGGCTCAGGGTCCTCAGCTCAGGGATAAGAGCTCCGTGTTCCACCGAGCCTCTGGGCTCAGGAAGAGTCGGGTACTCTCTCTCCGGTGAGCCCTGTCAGAGCACTCAGTGCCTTCCTTCCTCAGCAGTCAAGGGCTGTATTGGAAGTGATAATTAGAATATATTATACTTAATATAATTAAGAACAAATTAAAGAGGAAATTCAGTATTCCCCTTTAATAGCAACACTACATTGTCTAGTTCAGATTCAATAGCCAAAGTTGTCACTCTTTAATCTTTTGTGTTATTTCTCCATTAGCATGCAATTTAACACATTCCTAATATCCCTTCATATTAGAAAGTGAGCCCATTACTGCTCCTCTCACACTTCCTATTCCTGTGAATGCTGAGCCTGCATTACGAGCGAGGCTATGGAAAAGTGCAGTATTCAGTGATGGCGAACCTCAAGAGCTTTCCAGGATACAAACAGTGCACTGCAGCATGTACAGGTGCCATAGCTTTGCCACCCCTGGTACAGATGATAAAGTTTAACAAAATGAATTAAATTTGATTACACAACATGTTGACAACATGAATGACATGCTTCTCATTCTGTGTCAGACTTGTCCTGGTAGACGTGTAGAAACTTCCATATTCTCTCTTTTAAAAACATCACGACATGGGCTGGGGATTTAGCTCAGCGGCATAAGCACCTGCCTTGCAAGTGCGCAGTTGTGAGTTTGATCCCTGGTACTAAAAAACAAAACAAAAACAAAAAAAAAAATCACAACAGCAACAAACACTGGTGCTGGTGCAAGGTACTGTAACAGATGGTGGATCTGAAGAATGTGATGAAGGTTTGGACCATCAGTGTTTTAGAAGTGTGTACAAATATAATAAATATTTACAGGCTGGTCATTTCCTCCCAGGGCTCTTCTTCTGCTGTCCTCTCGGTACACAGCAGCATATGTGGGCCAGGGAGCTCTCGGGAAGCCCATCCTGCCTCACCCTGGGTGAGTGTGGATACGAGGCCACCCATGTCAGAAGGTGCCTGCTGAGCCAGAGGATGAAAACGAGAAGTTCAAGGGATGAATGCTGGCAGCTATGAACACCCCTGGGAAGCTGTGGCGGAAAGACAAGTTTGAGCCTAACCTGGGTAATAATAACTTAGCAAGACTCTGTCTCCAAGCAAAAAATAAAGAAGAGGTGGGGATAGAGCTCAAAGATAAAGGGTTGGGTTTGGTTCCCAGCACTGAAAAACAAGAACAAAACCTGACACACCTTTAGCCAGACGAAAAAGAAAGACTAAGACTTCTGAAGTCATAAATTAATGTGGACTAACCTCACAGAACCAAACAAGATTGTAAGAGACTACTATAAACAACATATGCCAACAGATCAGGTACCCTGGATACAGTGGAAAATTCACAGGAACACAAATCAGTCCAAGAACAAACAATATCTCAGCTGCACAAATGTCTAACAGATTAAAGCAATAACCAAAGGGCTCTCAATAAAGGAAAGTTCAGGTCCTGATGGACTTACAGGTGAATTCTGTCACACAGTTAAAGAGGAGTAACTCCAGTACTTCTCAGACTTCTAGAAACAGAGGAGGAGGAGCACATTCAATCCCACAATGCAGCAGTTCCATCAGGGACAGCATTACCTTCTGTCAAAGCCATATCACAAGTGAAAAACCAGGAAGAAGGGCTGGGGTCTCCATGTGGGTCAATCACATGGACCCGGTGACCTCACTGGGGTCCCTACATCAGTCAGCCCACAGGCGTCCAGCACATCACTCGGTGTCACCCATGGCATGCACCTGGGTAGGCAGAGCAAACCTGTGGGTAGCTTCACTCACAGACCTCTCCGAGCAAGCCAGCTGCAGCCCAGATGACAGAGTGGGTGCCTTGCCTGTGATGCCTGATCTCTGCTCATCACCTCTGGCTCTAGGTG